AGTCTCTAATAATTGAGAGAAAGAGAAGATGAAGCTGCCGTGTAGTCGGTAAGCCGACTGAAGTCTTTGTCATAAAATAAGAAAAATGAATGCTTTTTTTATCTGCTTATGATGAATAATTTGATACTAATTTATATTTTTATGTAATATAATTGTATAAAATTTTGAACTTTTTTAACTGAGTTAATGGGCAAATTTAAATTTTTTTAAATGTATTTAAATTATTAATATCAAATATACAATTAATTAAGTTTTTTCTTTAACTCATGAAAAAACTTGTACATAAATTTTATTAAGATTTTAAATTCAAGTAAATTGCTATAAAAATAAATGAATGGCTTTGAATATTATAGTTATTATCTTATTTTGATTTAATTCATTTATTGCCCTAAGCATTAATCAATAAATTATTATTATTATTATCTTTTAAAGCATTAATCAATAATAAAATGAATTAAATAGGTATTAGGGTTGTAAATAATCCTAACTTGAGCAAGCACCATTGTTTATTTGTGCTTGGCTCCTCTAAAAATTTGTTTATTATAGTTGAGCTCATGTTTGAAAGTATATTGTTTGTGAATTTATTTGTTATGAAATAAAAAAACCCCACATAAACAAGAAAAGTAGCAAAAACTTCACTTAAATAATAAAGATTCACAACGATACATTTGAGTCACATGACTCAAACAAGAATAGTAAGTAAAAAACTAAATCATTTAAAGCCTGTCATGCAAAAATTAATTTAAACACAAAAATAATCCTTAATGTTGCTTCACATTTGTTTCACAAGGCAAAAAATGCAAGAAAATCTACAATGGTATTTGCCCGCTAAGACTTTTAACAAATGGCTGATTTAGAGAGATATGGGAATGCTAAAATTATAAAAGGCCAAATTGACTTTAATTTGAAATAAATTTGATTTAGTCGAAATCATATTGGTTGAAATTATCCTGGTGTGATTGGATTAGACCAATTGAATTCATTTTAATGAAATTCAATTCAATTAGATCTGAGCTAATTCAATTTGAGTTAAATGAGCTTAGTTTAAATTAATTTAATACAAATGAAATCTTATGCATCCTCAATGAAATTGATTTACCTTGACTCAACTCCAAAAGTGAGATGACAATGATTATAAATTTCATTTTGAAAATGAGGACAACAAAGCAAAGAATTGCATATTGTCAAGAACATTTTTTTTTCATAACAAAATAAGATTCATTGAATAATAAAATGAAGGGTACAACAAAAAATGACCAACATCCTGAAATACAAAACAATAAAATCCCAAAAAAATTAAACATAGTAGGAAAAGCAACGGAAGGGGACTTCGGAACTAAGACCCCCAACAACAACCAAGCAGCCAAACACGAACCATCTGTAGATGACAGAATACAATCACAAACCAAAATCCAAAGCCGAGACACCTAGGTTGCCAGCTAGCTTAGCCAATAAGGGGAAGCAGGGGCCTCCTCATCATCGTCCAACAAACCATCAAAAGGCACCAACATAATCACAAGAGCAAAAAAAGAAAACCTATTTCTTCTTGCATTTTCTTTTTTGCTTATTATCACTCGCATTAAGAGCACCACGTATAGAAGAACGATCATTCTCAAATTCATTATACTCAGATTCTTCTCCACTAGAAGGAGAAGAATAATCCTCTAAAATCAACTAGTCAGTTTGAATCAAAATATTGTTTTTCACAGACTTAGCTAACTATTCTTACATAATATACCTATTTCCACATTAGACATTACCGAAATAGGTATATTTAACAAATTGACATTGCCCTCCAAGCCTTTAAAGGAGGAGGAAACATATGGATTCACGGGTCATCCATGTGAAGGCAGACCATTAACAGATAAGACATGAATAGGGGAAACAGAAGAACCATATTGCTCAACGACCACACAAGGCAGTTTCGCCACGGCCAAACCACACGGGATAGGCACCGCACAAGATAAAACAGGTTTCAAATTCACACCACAATTCTTAACACCAACATCACTTTAAAAAGAATCATACTAGCAAAAGCTTTTTCATAGAAAACTCAAAGATCAATTGCGTTTTCAGCACACTTAAAAAACTCTTCTACTTTGTGTTTTTTGGCTTAAAACGAAATATTTTCCTAACGCCGACCGAACCCCATTCAACTTGAGTTTTATGCACGTATACGTTATAAACTGTAACTTTTATTTACCTTCAAATTTTTTTTTTCTGTTAACTGTACATTAAATCTCTTAAATATATTTTTAAGAATAAATTTATAGAAAAAAATGAAAAATTAAATAAGATATTTGATAGTATTTGCGTTTTCCATCATACTAGCAAAAGCTGATTTGCTCTTAAAACCTCCAATTAATGTAAGATAAAATTAATGCAACTTTTTCATTATATTTTAAATATTTAATAAAATTAACGTAAGATATAAAAACATTAAACATAATGACTATTTTAACTATTATATTTATTTTAAACATTGTATTTAATTAACTTAAATATAAAAATAACTTAAAATTTTTTATTAATTAATATACATTTAAATATTAATAAACTATAACTTAAAAATTATTTATAAGTTGAAATAGTCATTTAAACATAATATTAAATATTAACTTTCACATAATAATATTTATTTTCACTCTATATTAAATATTAAATATAGCTGAAAGTTAATTCAAATTTGATTAAATAAGTTTTAATATTTAAAATCTATATATTTCTCCATCTCTGTCTCTCTCTCTCTTCTTGCATTTAGTTTTGTCAATATTAAGTTTTTAAATTGTATCTATTTTTTTTAATTTAAATTTTCAATGGCACTGTCCGTTTGTTGATCCGACGTTGCTTCGTCTCCGTAGAGGCAATTTTTCTCTATATGCGCGCCTTTGCATCATATTTGAATCCCCTCAAAATTTATTCCACCACCTCAATTGATCCAAATTGATTAAATAAAAGGTATATTCTTCATGCCGATGACGTTTCGGATTCAATGGCACTGTCCGTTTCACGATCGGACATCATTTTGTCACCGACGAGGCTAATTTCCCTCAATATGCACGTTGTCTCGAAATTTGTGCCACCAATTAAGATGATCCAAATTGAACAAATTAAATACAATTTTTGAGTATTTTCAATATTCTGAATACAATGACAAAGTCCGTTTGTCTATTTGACATCGCTTGGTTAACATTGCGCTTTAATTTTGGGTGTTCGTCCTCCCTTTTGACCGATCTCGCCTGATTCAATTGCGAGGGGCCTCGACCCAGCAAAATTCAGCGTCCTGATCGCAACGATGCCGTCCGTTTAACAATCAGGAGTCGTTTGACCCTTCAAGTGACGTGCGGCGCCAAGGTGCATATTGCTTTATTCACCAGTTTGGGTCCTTTCTCACGTGGTTTGAGGTATAGGGGTCAACATGTTCCTACTTCAACGCACAGAACAACCAACATTCAACCATTCCATGATCCACCTCTGTACCGTTGTCTCGCCGGTTCGCTTCAATATTTATCCATCACTAGACCCGCCAGTGCCTTTGCAACAAATCGGGCTTGCCAACATATGCAACAACCCACAATTCAAGGCTTCCAAAGCATTAAATGCATATTGCGCTACTTCAAAGGCACGCTGCACTTCAGACTTCCTATCATACCCGGTGACTTTCAACTACGAACTTACACAAACGCCGGCTGGGCCTCCGAAAATTCTGATCGGAAATCTGTCTCCGATTACTGTACCTTCATGGGACCAAATCTAATCTCTTGGTCAGTCAAGAAACAAGCAACTGTCGCCAAGTCCTCCATGGAAGCCGAGTACAGGGCCTTATCCGCAGCTACCTCGGATGCTCTTTGGCTCCGTCGCCTCTCCGCCGAACTTCAGCTTGACCAACAATCCCCTACAACCATTCACTGTGATAACATCTTAGCTATTGTCATAGCCAAGAATCTTGTCTTTCATGCCATAACAAAACACATCGAGATAGATTACCATTTTATTCGTCAACACATTTCATCAGGAGACATAAATATTCAGCATATCCCCTCTCAAGATCAATTCGCTTATGTCTTAACCAAACCGTTTTCCTGTACTCGCTTTAACTACCTTTGCTCCAAATTAACCATTCGAAACCCGAATGACTAATTTGCGGGAGGCTGTAAGCATACGGTTTATATTTACTTATCCGGTTCCTACTTGTATTTAGAGCTTCGCCTATTACTGTCCATATATACAACTTGTAATCAACAGTTCATCATAAGATTTAAATTTCTTTGTTTTACACTCTCTCTACTTCTCTCTGTTCTTTATTCCGCTCCTTCATCTCCTTCCGTCTGGGAGAAATACTCACATCCCCAATAATCATTAGACGTTTCAAAGAGGGAGGAAGGTTCGGCAATTCCCGAAGCATCGTAACATCCTCAATATATAGTTCCTGAAGTGAAGATAAGCTTTCCAAGGAGGAAGGGAGAGACTGTAAGGATTAGAGAGATGAAAATCGCAGCTCAGAAAGAGAAGGCCTAACTTTCAGAAACCACTGTTCCGCCTCATTTGGAAATGAAACCAGCTTATCATTATTCGAAATACTCAGCCAGAGGAAGGAAAGTTGCCCAAAAGGTGGAAGAGTTTCCGACTTCTTGCAACATGTTAATTCGATTTTCTCTAGATTCGAGATCGGATTGACATTCTTCATCGAAGATTTCAGTTGTGAATGCTTGAAAATAATTTTTTATGTTAGAAAATAAATTCAAAAAATAGTTGATTAGCTAAGAACAACAATCTATTGGATTAATATTCAAATAGCTGTTGTTGCAATTTCAAAAGAAAATGTCCTCATCTACAATTCTCGCTTTTGGTATTTGGATTATATATTTACATTATTAGAATCAATAAGAAATTAAAAAGAACTGTTTAGACAGCATATATAATGAAATATTAAAAGAGGAATATATTTATATATAAAGGGACCACCAAACGAAACATAAAAAAAAAAAAGAGTGCATCGATCAAAGTGATACAAACTGGTTCATGCTGTCACATTTCAAATATATCAAAGAAATAAGATGAAAGAAGTTTGCTTATATCTAAATATTGATTCTGTGCCGATCATATCAGCGCTCTTCTAACTCTGGATGACATTTCCAAATTGTTAGACGTTCCAAAGAGGGGTTCTCTACTCCAGCAAATGCATGAGAGTTGAGGAGCTCAAACACTCATCTTCCTCTAGGCCCTCTAATTTAACTATTTCCACCTTCTTTTTAATTACCATTACAATCGTCAAAGCAACTGAGTCCATTCGACTTGTTACCAAAATCTTACTATCCATTTTCCCATAAGCCAGAGGGGCGAGCAACTTCTCCCATTTGCTGATATGCCTGTTCTCATCCTCCCAAACGTCCTCCAGAATAAGTAAGAACTTTTTGGACAAAATCTCAGTCCAAAGACTATTTTGAAGTGCAGCAAGTGTGTTCAAACGAGGCCTCTCCTTCTTAAGAGATTCCAACATATCCTTAATGACTTCTTTCACATCTTTGTTGGAAACACTAACCCACATTTTAAGATCAAATTCCTTTGTAATTTCATCTTCATAGATATGTTGCACGAGAGCCGTCATCCCCATACCACCATGGCCCACTATAGATAGAACAGAAATGTTTCTGCACCTAGTTGTCCCAGGATCATTTGATGGCTTCATCAACCACTGCATAACAAGCTCCTTCTCTTTAGGCAAATATCCTGTTCCACGTGTTTTGTAGAAATCAACCTCCTGCTCCTTCTGTTCCTGCTTTGCGCTGTCTAAGAGATGAAGGAAAGTAGTAACATGAGCCGAAACTTTATCAAGTTTCTGCACAGCTTTCTCCAGCCTCTTCAAGTTGAGATCCCTTTTGAGATCACCTTCGAGATGTTCTTTAGGCATCGTGTACTTCAACTCATCGATCACATCACCTGCCGCATCCATAGCATCTCGCAGCTGCCATATCCATTTGTTGAGAGCTGGATCGCTGATTTGTGCTTCAGCAGCAAAGTCGAAGACAGCTTGGATTTTGGGGTGGTTCTCTCGCAGCCTTTCAAGCTCCTCCTTCATGCCTGTCTGCCATCTTAATTGATCTTTCAGGTAATCAGAGCAAGCTTCGATGATCTTCTTCATGATTGGACCAACAAACCATCCCGCCACCTCCATGGCACCAAGATCGAGGTAGAGAGAGCAGAACAACTGAACAGTAGGAGAAACAGAGATCGGAGGAGAGAAAGAATTTAACATTATTGAGAAAACAACTTAAATAAAATTAAATTTACAATATTAATATAAAATATAATATTGGCACAAAATAAAAATAGAAATAAAATAAAATAAAATAATCAAGTATATAAATTACATTTCCGAATGTAGATAAACATATCATAATATAGCAATGTATAATATAAAATGATTAAAAATAATTAATTTTCAAAGTACATATATTCATTAGAGAATCAGAGCAATATTAAATCATGATCTTATGTCTTAAGTTCAATAAATTAGAAGTTTAAAAAGGAAAATACCAAGTAAAAAATATAAAGCAGATGAAATAAGAAATAAAAAATAAAATATATATTGACACAATTAAGTGAAAAAAATTAAATACAAAAAATTACAAAAAAAATAAATACAAATAAAAATTAATGCAAATTCATGTATTACTACAAGTGGCAGAGAAATTGTTGAAGGAATATTAGACCATAAATAATTCGCTAAATCTCTTCTTCACTGCAAGCATGTGAACTCAAAAGAAGTAAAATAAATTTCTTTAGTGACTCTTTCAAGAAACTTCTTTGAAGTTTAGACAAAATTGTGGATGAAGGCAACTGTCAAGTTCCCATCATGACTCAGAATCTTGTATCATGAAGAACTCGTTACCTTCGAAATTAACATGTAAAAGGTCTTACTACTGATTCATTATTTAAATCCATTGAATTTGCTTACGTCCAAAGGATTGAAGAGAGAACAAATTGCCTCAATATCAATGTTTAATCCAAAATTATTTTCATCATATTAAACTCAGCAAATATCACAAAAAAAAAGATTTAAAAAGAAATCTAGATAATGCAAATTGTACATAATTTTTATGGTATTATGGAGAATTATGTCTATTGAAACTCAAATAATGAATTTATTGAGTTTGTTTAACATAATTTAGCATACATTTATACAATTGCTACATCCATAGGAAGAAGTGGATGTAGGAACAATCACAAAAAATGTAAAACATCTATAATATGTAGAAACAAATCCAAAACATGTGATATAATCCAAATAATGGATCAATATAATTCAAAAATAATTATTTTTAGCATCAATTAAATAAAAATGATTTATTAATAATTAACCTACTTTTTAAAGTAGGCGCGTAGCTAATTAACAAACATCAATCTTTTGGAATACTTTGATATCGGTTATACATCATATAGATGAACCATGATTATCAACAAATGATATCAAAAATAATTGCATTCACACCTTTACTAAATGTATTGATTGCTTCGGTTCCTATAAAACATAATAAAACTGCTACTCATTTACAAATATACATTGAATTTATAGGAGTATGAGGTGATCAGATATCATATTTGACATCAATAATAAAAATATTGCAAAGTTGATCAGCACGCAAGAATAAAATATTTCATTTCAATATAATAAAAGCCACCATCTTCAATGACTATTAAATCCAAAATTATGAAAAAAGTATTGGATGATGGATAGATCAATTATATATATTCTCAAATATGAAAGACTCAGCACAGTAGACACTCAATAAGACTTGCTCCCGTCCTTTCATAAATAAAAAACAATAAAAAATTTTCCATAAACAATAAACTCTACTATAATAGTTCAATCACAATTAACAAACAAACAATAGTCTAATGATAATATATGTATTTTTAAATATATAATAGCATCATTGGTACCAAAGAGTGTTCTTGTTTGATCTCTTGGTGAGTTCATGAGAGGAAAAGCCCGAGGAGGGTGATTTGCAATACCCGTCAATCTTTGGAAGAGTCCAAGGTTCGCGGTTCTAACAATCTCTGTGTGAGTTCGTTAGTTTATGCTTATCTTATTTGTTTTTTCTTTCATCTCATTTCTCCCCCTCTCCAACCACCACCCTTCCTACTCCACCACCAAATGCTTAACCTCCACCATCCAATTCATCTTCTAGCTCCACCGCCTAAATCCCACCCACCTACCTAGCCACAGCCCGCCACCTAGCTACCCCCTTTCCCCTTTGCCACCGGCCCCCTCATAATTTCTCCCTCATTATGACGATTTCAATCATCATAATGACTTCCTAATTTAGCTCAAGCATGACAGGAAAATTTTGAATTTATTTGAAACTCAAATTCGAATTTTAAATTCTTTCCATATATGGAATCCCAAATTAGGAAAGTATCAATCATGAATTCAATTTCAAAATAAATCAAATTGGATTTATTATTCTCTTTCTTAATCTTCATCTCCTATTTGGAAACTCCCATATTTCCATCCCCAATCCCCTCCACCCTCATGATGCCGCCGGCCCCATGATGGACTTCTCCCTATTAAATGCTCCTTTAATCCCTCAATCCTAATTGAAATTTGAATTTAATTTCAAACATTTTCCCTCCAAATCCACTTAAGTTGAAATTAATTTCAATTATCCAATTCCCCCTTCTCTCTCTCTTGGCCGGCCCCATGACCCTCTTCCCCGCTTAATTTTCCTTCCAAATCCAGGCCTAAATCGAAGGGGAATTAACTCCAGGCCTCCTTCATTGTTGTCCACACAGTTTCCCTCCCTCCCTTTCATGCTCACGTGCACCCAGTAGGAGGAAAAGGCTGAAATTCATTTCCCTGACTGGCTGTCCAGAATTCCGAAGGTTGAAAGCTTGCTGTCCAGACTTTCCCAGGTCACTGTTAGGAAATTCTTTCAGTTTTTTCCTGCTGTCCCAGAATTCCAGCCAAGGTAAATATGAATTCATGCCGCCTAAACCCTTCAAACTGCTGGCCGCTCTCTTACAACCTGTTGTCCGCTGTTTCTACAAATCTCCTAGCACCATACCTTCATCCGGAAGGTTCCAATTGATGTCCATAATCTGTCCAGTTCAAAAACTACTGCTGTCTTGAAGATCCGCACCTTGTCTTGGCTATTCTGTGGTGCGAGGAAGCTCATGGTGGCTGTCTTAGTCATCTCGGGGAATCCCCGTTGCCGGCTACTTCCCCAACGGACTAGACTTTGGGCACCATTTTTCTCTTAGTGGCATTGCTTGGTTTGCTCTCAATCTTCCTCCGTTAAAGCCCCATCGTCAAGAGCGTGAGTGAGCGACCCAAGGTGAAGAGTTCTATTTGTTAGCTATGGATTACTGTTTTTGCCATAACATTACTCACTCTATTTTTATGTTGTTAACTTGAGAACATCCCGTTAATCTAGTTGTAACCGCATGCCTTACATAATCTCTACTTGATAATTCTGAAGCCTAACTTGAGTAAGCATTAATTCTATAACTAGCAAAGTTTTAATAATCTTATATTAAAATCCCCAAGCATTTTTGTTTCCATGCATATGTTCCACATCACTATTAATTTGTATCCTTTCAAGTTGAACCTAGTGTTTAGATTGTTTATATACTTGGTTTGTGATATGAATGTACACTTTTTTGCTTTACTTCTAAACCCAAAAATAATTAAGTTATCCCATCAAAATAAATTACAAGGAGCACTAGGTAGTCCAATTTTTCAAAATGGGAAACCCCAATTAAATAGTGATTGAGCAACAAAAAACCTGGACTGAAAGACTTGTTGATTGAAGAAGATGGTAGCTTTGTGTCTTAGCTGAAAGTACCTTTGCCTGGTTGGATGTTCCAGCATCCAAGAGACTTTAGTCAGCTGTGTATTGGATCTTTCCTTTAGCTGGAAAGGGAGATAAACGTTTCAGAACTTTGCTTAGAGTATATCCTCATTGGAATGGTCCAGTCACCCATACTCATGGAGACTTCTCAAGAAAAAAGGTGAACCCATTGGCTTGAAGATGCTCCTTCTAGATGTGTGCGGCGACCTGAGATCCACTACAAGGTTTTTCCTATACCGCCTAAGGGAGGGGCCCACGCCCAATTTGTTTGGATTTAATTAATTAAAAAGATTTGATATCTTTTGAATTAATTAAATACTATCTTATATTAGGAAAGTGGATTTAATTAATTAAAAAGATTTGATATCTTTTGAATTAATTAAATCCTATCTTATATTAGGAAGTTTTAAGGAGGTGGAGGGGGCTATTTAAAGGTCATGAAGGGGTTAGGGCTAGTCATGCTTTGGTTATTGTCTTCTTGTAGTCTCTTTGGCGTTTTGGGCTCTAGACTCTTGTCTAGAGATTTGGGAGAGGCGATCCTCCTCTCGAATAGAGGATCAATTGTATCTTTTCTTCTAGCTTATTTTGCTTTGAGTATTTAATCAAGTTCTATTATTTTCTTGGTTGTTTCATCTCCAATCTTGGGTATTCTTGCTGTTTTTACCAATTTTGCATTAGGGTTGCTTGCGAACTCAAGTAGATCTGATAGGATTACTTGTGAACTCAAGTACTTCCTATCAGTTTTCTCTGCAAAGTAGCTTGTGGAAGAATGCTTGATCAAGGTTTTTCCTGCATCGTGAAATTTAGCGGATAGAAGTTCTAGAAGATAGTCTTGAAGTTGAGGAGAGGGTGGTTGGTTGGCGTTTACCATTTATAGTGTTACAAATCCTTGATTTTCCCTCTGTTGAACACACACTATCACCTGTCTCCATTCTTAATTGCGTTTGAGGTGTAGAAGTTCTTTGTTAGTGTAGATTTATGCAACTTGTAGAGGGTCACTCGTACACTCTCTTTCTTTTAGCATTTTGATTTTGCCAGCGGATTATTTAGAGGTCTGAATAGCTTATTTTATCACTGATTTCATTAGTTTTAGTTCACCTTTTCTTATCATAATTCTCATTGCTAAATTAAGATGCAGCCAAGAATTTTTTTGCTTTGCCCCATTATCATGCGCTATTTTGCTAGTAGTATTTGCCAGCATTCATTAATTGATTTCATGTAATGTTCAGATTTGGTTAGTTTGCATTCAAATTTTCTCTTCACGTAGAATTCTTGTTTTCATTGTTCTGAAGTATTCTTGATTTTATTTCACTAACTAAACATTATTGATTTGGTTAACCTAAACGTTGTTGTTTTCATTTCTTTCTCTTGTTTTCATGAAAGCAATTTTGGTGTTGCATGCATGTTAATTTTGGCTTCTGAATGGTTATATCATTTTATTGATATGTGTCATGAATTATTATATGTTTCCTAATTTAGGGTGCGTTTGAGATAGCTTTTTACTTGCTTTGCTTTATAAAAAGTCAATAAAAAACCGTTTGAGGCATTACGGCAGAATGGAGTTGGCAAAATTTTCGCGGCCCGCTATTGCTTTTTGCAACCTACGAACGCCTCTCGCGGTTCGACAACTTCCCGTTGTTTCGAATAATAAAATGACAAAAATACCCCCAATTTGCGTAAGAGGATATGTGTTCCGCCTCAATCATTTTCACGATTCTCATCATCTCCTCTATCGCGGCCCTGCAATCTCCCATTCCCATGCTGAATCATCTGACGATCACTCATCTCAGCTATCGGAGATCGCTCATCACTTTGATTCCAATTCTCGTCTCCGCTATTGCATCGCTCCTCGCGGTAATCTACCCAGGCTACATCGCATAATTGATTGGAGGTCACTCGCCCGCTCAGGTATAAGCTCCTTAAGCAAATCTACCGTGGTTTAGGGTTCCGATTGCCTACCATTTCTCTATTATAAATTTCTTTTTTGATTTTCTTTCTTCTTCGATATGATGTTCTTTCCATTGCCGAGAATAATCCAACCATTTTTGAACTTAACTCTTTGGAATGTCGGAATTAACAAATTGATCACATGAAGAAATTTTTATCTGCTGCGAATCTTATATGCATTGATTGTAGCTGCATCTCCATCGGAAATTTCTCTGATGGCCACCACTACATGTACAGCTTATGTTTCAGCTGCGGTTTAAATATTTGTACATCCATAAAACAATTCACACTATTATGACAGTTTTCAACTATCCTAATATTCTGATGTTTCAGCTGCGGTTTTAAGAATCACCATTTATTACTGCTGATTCTTTCTTGTTTCCTTACTCGAAGCTTTACTTTTCTTTGCTTTTTTGGTGGTTACTGATCTGATACCGATAAAGATCTCTTGCTTGTAAGGTGGTCACCATTCTATGATCAAAATGTTAGGCTGAGGCTGTCACATGAGATTGTCGAGACTTGGGTTGGTAGTTTTAAGGTGGTTTCTATTCTCATGAAATGCTTGCATTGCAGTGCTTCCTTTTGAAAGAAGCAGAAGCATTCATTCGTTTGAAAAAGTTTTCTCAATAAAGAGGAAGTTAACAGCACCCCACACCATCTAATCATGCTCATATATAAGGAGTCGTTGGTTATGGGGCTTAGGCATGGATTTGAGCTTGTAATTCCCTTTCTACTGAATGAAAGCTTGTCAATCTGAAATCCCCCAATCTCCTTTCTCTTGTAGTAACTTTTCTAACCAAAAAATATCAAGCACTCTTCCTTAGGTACATTCCAACCTATAGAAGCATTATCATACTCTTCCAAAGGTTGTGGACTTCATCCAAATCATTTGTTTCAGCATTTTTTTTTCCTTTCCAGTTTAGAAACGGAGTTTTTTTTTTTTGATGAGACACTTCTATATAAATGCTTTTTTGCAAACCTTACCTTGATTTTATAATATAGCAATTAAGAAATTAAATGGATAAACCAAAGGATGGTGGAGCATCTGCAACATGTGAGCAAGATGTGAAGATTATATTTTGTGATTTATGTATTAGAGAGATTGAATTTGAAAATCGACGGACAACTCACTTCAATAAAGAGGGTTGGTTGAATTTAATGAAGAATTTTAGTGAGAAAACTGGAAGAGAGTATGATCAAGTGCAGCTAAAAAATAAATGTAATGCTGACTTCTGTGAAGATGTGGTAAGCAAAGAAATCTGAGATGTAATGCAGACTTCTGCGGGCAACCGCTCTGTCCAAGGTAACCAATTATCGTCTTAGATTCAGTTATGCACTCTCTTGCAAGGTAAGCAAAGAAATCTGAGATGTAATGCTGACTTCTGTGAAGATGTGGTATTTATGATGCTTAAGATAGAATATTTCGCTTCGTGATAGCATTTCTGGGCTTACGCAACTGAAGGTTTTTATCAAGGAACATTGTAATGTTCATGCTGAAGTTCTTTAAAATTTTTTTAGAATCAATTTTTCAAAATTTGTTTGATATATATTGAATTTGATGTGAAAAAAAAAAAGATGAACTATGTCAATGCATAAGAAGTTGTTTTTATGTTTTGTTTACATACAATTTTAATGCAAAAGAAGTTTTTATATTTTGTTAAACATAATTTGTTACTGTTGTAATCTGCCATATAATCTATTCTTTAATTTGCTCTATAATTTGCTCCCAAAGGCATTGATAATATATAAAACTGCTTTGTTTTATTTTTCAATTTGCTCTGTTATCCGCAACTTTTGATCTCTGGATCAATTGTTGATAGCCATTATGCTCATATGGGTGATCTATAACGGGATGAAGTTGCTGCACAAGATAATACAACGGCAGCAAAGCTGGAAGAGAATTTTTTTTGAATTTATATAGTTAAATTTTTTTTAAATGAGGGTAGTAATGTAAATTGTTCTTATACAGCTGCAGCAAAACAGTTTTACAGTTATACTACCCAAAGAAAAAATATTGTTTTCTATATAGCAACTTCAAAAAGCAACTTTCTGTACAATAATTTTACAACCTGCTTTACTGACAGCTGCAGCCGTCCCAAACACACCCTTAATTTTTTATTAATATTTGTGAGAGAAAATTATGTACTTCTTAGCAGAAAATTTGTCAAGGGAATGAGTGGATGATTTGACCTTAGCTCTGTGCGTGTCTTTATGAAAGTAATTGCAAGCTCGTATGCAATGGACATGTATCTTGATGGTTGTTGTAAACTAGGCTATCATTTTATGTCTCATGGCATAAACAATAAACTCTACTATAATAGTTCAATCACAATTAACAAACAAACAATAGTCTAATGATAATATATGTATTTTTAAATATATAATAGCATGAAATCTATAAATTTCTATCAAGAAGATGGAAAAAGAAGCACTTCAAAAAGCAAGAACAATTCTAATGCACCTTATGCATCATAAAAGCTGCAATCACACATCATGGAGCCAACAACTACACTTGCAATATGTAAAATTTTCCTAGAGCTGCTAATGAGCTCTCTCTTGTTCATCGAATTAAACTGAATTGAGGTCACCGCATAATGTCATCAAAACAAATAAGTATATCTCTATTATATATGATTAAAAAATAGGTAAGAAATAAATTAGCTAACAATACACATATGCATAAACCATAATTATTGTGAGAAAAGAATCTAACAGATCTATCACACCCCAATTTCCACAGACGAATAGCTTTATCAAAATAAGATGATAGTAAATCCTACAAAAAACAATCATTCAGAAACAACTATATAAAATGGAAGTTATTAAATATAAATTACCTTACATAAATATTTAATGGTAAGAATGCATTAAGTTTGGAGAATGTTTTCAAGTTTATACTTACCAAATCTTTAGACCATGCCCATTATGACTGGAATTCTTATAAAAATTTCTCTGATATTTCAAAATATCTTGAGGAATAATAACACAAGCTGAATTTGACATTCTTCGCTTACTCTTAGAATTGATCAAACTTTTCTTATCAATATAGAGAGGTAAAAGTTCCGAATTTTTGTTCATACTAAAATAAATACAAGAAAAGTCATCAACAGGAATATCATTTGCATTGGTCCATTGATAGTCCACCTTCCATACTCTCACAAATCTATCTTCACCCCCAATTGCTAAGTACTCTCCATCAGAGCTAAATTTCAGGATAAGAATGGCACCATGATGGGCCACATAATATAATATTTCACATTTAAATTTTTTTTATTTGAAAAAAAAGTTTTGTAAATCTATGCAAAATGATTACTTTGTGACATGGATTGAAAATATTTAAAACCGCAATCTCTAAAAAGACGTGAGTTACCACATAACAAACCTGATTATTTTTTTCAATTTTAAAATAATCAAAATCCATGCAAACTAAAAGTAGAAAATATTTCATGGATAAATTTTTAAGAAAATACAATAAAGGGTGACTGATGAAAAAAATGCAATACATCATCATTTAGAAGCTATTTTTCATACAATTGATTCACTTTGCACCTTTCGTAGCAAACTAAATACCCCCAGTTGCTAATGAATCGGATCAAACATGAGATCTCAACTTTTAACAATCAATTAAAAAGAATTAATTAGAAAATATTAAAATGACCTTTCTTTATTAGATTTCAAAGAAAATTTAACATATAAAATGACACAATAGAAAAAAAAGATTTATGTAGCCGAACCCAAAGTGGGATAAAGGCTTTATGTTGTTGCTGTTGTTGTTGTTGTAATCTATTAAAGCTATGGAATATTGATGATGCCTAAAGGACTTTCTGTTTTGCTCAAAAAGAAATTCAATGCATAAAACTTAAAAATTATTTATTTGGTTGATGAAAGAAAAACAAAATATTTTAGTGATGTATTTAAAATTTCCCATTCAATTCATTTTCAATATATTTAAAATTTATATGATTTGGGCAAATTTTAAATATAAAGCATCACACCAATTTGCGGACACCCATAGCTTCCACCTGCTACCTTCCACCATCAAACAATAAAAAACCGCTAAACACTAAATTCATTTTACTTCAAGTCAAACACAACTCTAAAGTTTATTTTACATTTAACCAAACAAAATGTAATACATCCCATATACGCTATTATTTTCAATATATTATTTCTACAATTCTACCTAAACTTTTTTTTTTTTTTTCAGCAAACCAACTGTTGCCCCTGAGATAGCTAGCTAGTCAGTAGTCACGCTAAAAAAGACAAACGGTTGGAATGGTTCAAAGGATGTTTACAAGCTTGACATGGCAAATATAATTTCACGCATAGAAAGCTCAGGCATGCATTGGGAAGCAAAAGAAGAGAGACCCACAATTAAATGATGTCAAAGAATGAATGCGATAGACAAGACCAAGAATTGTTATAGATTATTCGAAAGCAGGTGTTTTAAAGGAAGATTGTGAAGGAAATCATGCTCAAAGAAAGTAATAGCATTGGCAAAAGATGTGATTATGAAAGCGGGTGGTTAAAAATTGGTATGAGCGACAAGCATAACTTTGACTCAAAAGAATAATGAAACCTTAAGCTGTTACAAGCAGTGAGAGAAATGAGGATTTTAAGGATTCTGCAGATGGCTTACCTTAGAAGTCTATTCAAGCATTTCATGAAAAGAAGGAACATAAGCAATAACCAACTTTTCATATTTGTTGTTGTTTCACATACAATGTGGTCCTAGCTGGTGAGTTCATGCAAAGCAAGTATAAGATGAGTAAAACAAAAATGGAATGAACAATGAACAAAGCAGCCTGCTACTGAGAAGGGAATTACTTCAGCATTAAAGAACCCGAGCATCAATTCTAAGGAAAAGGTGGGTCAGCAAAGAACTTTAGATGAGCTTTAAACGGAGCGCCAAGAACTTCAAGGATCTCTAAAGAGAAGTTACAACTGCTCCAAAGATAATATGATACAAATGCCTTATTTTGTTGAGGTATTCAGCTGCTGTCTAGCAGCAATAAAAACAAAAAATAAAAAGTCACAAAGTTTAGCTTGAACAAGTAAATTTTTAGTGATCTATCTATATATATATAGCATTTACTTTTGAAATTTGTCTCATTGAGATTGTAAGCATCTTAAACACTTCTCTATTAGTTTTCTCTGATATATTCTTTTTTTTCAAAACTCATATAGATTCTAAATCACCCATAACAAACATCACTTGTTAGTATTAGAACAACCGAACAAAGATATTCATTCTTGTAGTCCTATAGTATAGGGACACGTGTAAAGCTAGCCAAATATATATTATATATACTGATGTATAGGTGTAGAACAGGGTAATAATATAATAAGATCTATTTCCATTTCCTCAAGCTCACGGTTTCTTCTTTGTCTGTATCTTATCTTGTTCATGGAAACCACTCAGAATTGATTCTTAGATCTCTTCATGGTATCAGAGCAGCTCGTTTTCTAGGGAATTTTTTTTTGCGTCTTGTTATCTATGGAAAGCTCGGCATCCATAGCCTCAAACGCCGGGACGGCTCCAACGGAATCCCAGGTAAAGAGGCAAATTGATCCTTCGCTCAAATTTGTGGTTGCAAACCTCAAATCTATCATTCCTCATCCTCTTTCGGCCGATAACTACCCAATATGGAGTAATCAAATCATCAAGCTGCTCAAGGACAATGGCTTTGAACAATTTCTTGATCAATCGGCGTCCACAGCATAGGTCATGTCCGATTAAGAACAAGAAAACAATGATCCGAACCTGATGCGACAAAGATAGCGGGTTACAGACCAGAACTTGGCCGCAGCCATCTGTGCTACAACATCTCAGCAAATCTTGTCGTATGTGGTTCATCTGGAATCCACCGGATAAATATGGCAAACGCTCCGAACTCGGTTTCAATCGACAAACCGGTCCAAAGTGATTCAACTTAGGAATGAACTACAAAACATCTCCATGAAGACGATGTCTATGACTCAATATCTCACCAAGATATAGAAGCTCGTCGATCAAATTGCTTACGCTGGGGAAACGATTGACACAGAGGACATTCTTCATCATATACTAAATGGCCTTCCACCGGCATACAACTCGTTTAAAACGTCCATACGGACTATGCAAAATCTGTTGCCACTCGACAATGTATATGCACTTCTCATAAGTGAGGAAATTCACATCCAAACGGATGTGCTCCGAGCAACAAATCAACCAGATCACAATGCGGCGCTATACATGAATCATGGACGTACTAAACAGGGCAGAGGAAATCAAAGTAATTCTGGGAATCAATAAGGAAGGAAAAACAACAATTCAAATTTAGTCTGCCAAATTTGCAAAAAGAAAGGACACTCTGCGGATGTATGTTGGCATCGCTTGAATCCAAACTACGTACCAACGGGGCCTTCGTCAAAACAAACCAATACGCTGATCGCCTCGGGGGACTCATCCATCACAGACTGGTACCTCGACTCGGGTGCTTCAACACACATTACACAAACTCAAGAAAATCTTGATCACAGTC